GGGGATGGGATCTGCAGGCTTACAAAAAGCGAAGAATAAAACGTCGCAGCAAGCGAACAACAAACCAGAAACACACCAACATAACTCCCCACCACACCCAGCGCAGACCTCCATGGTATATCTTCGGTACTCCTCCCCTGCACCCTCCACGCCTTGCGGAAGCGAATGTGCGCAATCATGATGCTCGCGTACGCGAACTGGCCCGAGAGGCCCGTGACGGCGAGAAGCCAGTTGAAGACGGTCTTGCTGTCGGCGGCGACGGTGATGAAGGAGATGAAGCCGAAGGCGACTTGTAGCGCGACGCAGTAGATGGGCCGGCCGGACTTGTCGATCTTGGCAAAGATGGAGGGGGCGCGGCCGGATTGGGCGAGGGCTTGGAGGACGCGGGTTGAGCCGTAGGTGCAGCTGTTTGCGACGGAGATGACGGCGCAGGTGATTACTTCGATTGGCAGGTGTCAGACAGCAGCTCGGAGGGTTAAGATCATGCACGAGGAAAGGTAGTTGAGGAGGAAGATGAGGAAGAGACGCGGCATATGCTAGACGTACCGCCGTTGATAATGTGAGGGAGGATCTGGATTCCGGCAAGCTGGACGGCCAGGACAAAGGGGGATGCCTTGGTATTTGCGCCGCTGGCGCCGAGGAGAACGTCGCTGTCCGAGGGGACGATGAGGCCCATGATGAAGATGTTGAGGATGTAGAAGAGGGCGATCCGCCAGAAGACTTGGCGGGTAGCTTTCGGGAGGGTCTTGCGCGGGTTCTTGGCTTCAGCGGCTGCGAGGCCCACCATTTCGGTCCCGCCAAAGGAGAAGGCTGAGATTCGTTTGCTTAGTTCAGAGTGCCCGAGCTATCATATAATTTGACATGGATCTGGGGGTCGGTGATGTGATAGAAAGAGGGGAACTCACCGGCGGTTACGAAGACGGAGCAGAATCCTTGGAAGCCGTTCCTGAAGGCGCCTGGGTTGTGCCAGTATTGCGCGCCAATGTAGCCTCTATGGTCTGTGGGTACGCCGCCGGCGTTGATGATAATGCCGAGGATGATGAAGCCGATGCATGCTATGATCTTGACGATAGCGAGGATGAATTCGACTGAAAGTTAGAGTTAGGGAGAGATCATTTGGGAGATTTTATGAAGTTAAGTGAGCCTTGCCTTCGCCGTATCCTCGCACTCCAAAGACTTGGATGATGATCAAGAGTGACATGAAGACGGCGCACCATACGCCGGGGTTGACTTCTTCTCTGCTCTTCCAGAACTCGATTGTGATGCCAGCGGCGGTGATTTCGAAGGGAAGGGTGACCATCCATCCGATGGAGTACTCCCATCCCATTGCAAAGCCCCTGGCAAGGTGTCAGATATTGGCCTAGAGATCTCTATCTGGTTATGTAGTCGAAGAGAAGCTCACCAGGCCGGATCAATGAAGCGAACAGCATATTCGTAGAAAGCACCATTGACTGGGTAGATGATTGCAAGTTCTCCGAGAGCTTGGACGGTACACATCATCATACAACCAATGATGATGAAACCTATGAGCTGCAGACTACTTAGTTTCTCTTCAAGTCGGTTGACAATATTGTTCTCGCGATGCTTACAAGAGCAGCCGGCCCTCCCGTTCTCAATGCTCCTCCTGTCCCGACGAAGAGACCTGCACCGATAGAACCTCCTGCGAGGAGGGGGATCTAATTAGACTCTGAATGGCTTCCGTGGTGAGTGACATACCGATCGCAATCATCTGCATATGCCGACCCTTGAGCGCTCTCGACAACTGCCGATGCTGTGGCTCGCTCTCGCCCTCGCCATTGCTAGACGTGGGCTGGACGGCCGCTTCGCTGGCATCGAGCTTCTTCTCTTCTACAGTCATTCTAGAAAATGTTCACGAAGTAATTCTGTTGAAAGTCAATTGATCTACATATTCTCGAAAAGCCCTCCAGAGCCTACGCGGCTTTCGCCTGTTTAAAGCAATTCAATTCTCGCCCGAGTGAATGCAACTTTATCTTTGCACGCGATTTTGCGCCCCTGAACTGCGTCAACCCCCCATTCTCGAATGGTGCACCGGCAAGGCCATCCTTATCAGAATCCTAGGAAATGTTCAGGATGTTGGTATCAGAGCGTTGCTACGCAGATACTTAGCGACTGTTGGTGAGTTGGGATCGACGTCACTGGGGGTGCGGGTTTACGCCGGGCGTTGAAACTCGATCAATGGGAGCAATGAGCATGGAACTACTCCTTCTCAAACTTCTTGGCGGTCGTATCGCTCGTCTCTTCTACTCCATTTCGAGACCAGAGGTTGCCGGCAAATCTCTTGATACGAAATGCCACTTCCATCATAAAGTTGCTTCAGCATTATTGCTCCAATACAGAAGATGGTGGGTAGTATCTTCGTCAAAACAATTTGCAGGTCGCAACTATTTCGGTCCGTCTTTAGCCCGGAGCGAAGATAAGATGCCATACCGGCAGATCAAGTACGATGCCCCGATGATAAAAGGGGAAGGCGGGGGGACCTGATAAGAGCCCTCGGGGTGATGTTGAAAAGATGGTGGGGTCGTATCGGAGGGGTGCCCGGTAAGTGGGTCCGATACGGAGTCGTCTCCGGTCTCTCGTACTGAGTGCTGCCCGGATGGGGTAATAGCAACCTACGCCACGTGCGCTTCCCCTCACGGACGAGCCGTAGCTTATCTACGCCCGCTCGCTGCGGCCCACGGCAGCCAACGACACACGTATCCGATAGCCAGTTGGCTTTGGTGCCGTTGTGGCCGTCGAGCGTCGAGGGCGCCCGAACTTGCGGACTGGCATAGAGTTTGTCAACTGTCAGCGAATCACTCTCTTCGCCATGGGCGTCCAAGACTGAAGCGTGGCCGCTTGTACACTGGGATCACCATGCATCTGGTTCCGGGGATCGGACTATGCTAGGCTAATTGCGGTGGTGTTTGGATGGGCATAGCTCCGAAACGGCACGATCCGGTGCGATAGAGATTGAGCATTTAGAGCAATCCTTATGCCGCTTCCTCCTACTTAGATACCAAGTCCATGAGTATAACTCTTCACAATTCAAAGTACTCTCTTCATAGCCCTGCAACCATCAACTCCTCCATCACACCACAATCAGAGACACGGCCGTGCCCCTACGCCAAAAGATGAAGTCCTCTTTGGGACTCTTCGCCGCCAGGCGACCGTGGGGTACCACGATAGCCGTCAGATCGGATAAGCGCGCCTACGGGAAACCGACAGAGCCAAGACAGTCACTCGGCGCCGCCAACTCACCACACGCCGCAATAAACGACACAACTCCCTTGACGTTGAAGCCGGCTCTAACACCAACAAAGACAAAGAGGAAGGCCGTCGATGGGTTCCCATTGTCCGGCATGCCGACAGGCACGCTCCTGCGGTCCCTCCTCGTTACCACAATCTCCTCCAACCGCTTCCTCCTCATCCCCGCACTCAAAACCTTATCCTTCCTCGCCAAGCCGGGGCGGACGATCTTGTTCGACGTCGATCGCAACCCCATCTTACACAAGATTTTGCGAAAGACGTTTTATGACCAGTTTTGTACCGGCGAGACGCCGCAGGAGACCAAGGCGACTGTGCAGAGTCTCAAGGATTTGGGGTTCAGGGGGGTGATTCTCACGTATGCGAAAGAGACTGTGTTTGATCACTTGACGCAGTCTTCTGTCGAGCATGGGAAGCTTGTTGGTGCGTCGGCGGATGGGTTTGATGAGGATATTGAGTCGTGGAAGAAGGGTACCCTTGAGACTGCTGCGCAGATTGAGCAGGGTGATTATCTCGCCATCAAGTAAGACAAGACAATTCTCATGCAATCTTGTGTCAGAAATACTAATCATGTCTTAGGCTGACTGGTGCCGGCCGTGCCGTGACCACCTCGTTCGCCAACAATGAACTACCGCCACAGCAAATGCAAGATGCTTTGACTGAGATAGCGACGATATGCAAGCAGAAGGGTATCAAGATCATCGTCGATGCCGAGTCAACACACTTCCAGAAGACCATCGACAGGGTGACACTCGAACTCATGCGTCGCTTCAACACGGATGGCGTTGCATCCATCTACAACACTTACCAGGCCTACCTCAAGCACACACCCGATAACGTCACGAACCATCTCGCCGAAGCTGCCAAGGACGGGTTCACCCTCGGACTCAAACTGGTCAGGGGAGCTTACATCCTCTCCGATAACAGGTCAATGATCCACGACACCAAGGAGGATACTGATCATGCGTACAACTACATCTCCCAAGGGGCTGTAAAGCGCAGCATTGGCGAGTTTGGCACATCAAAGGTCTTCCCGTCAGTCGATCTGTTCTTGGCCAGTCATAACAAGGAGAGCCTCTTCGCCTCCCTAAAGCTGCACCAAGACCGTGTCAAGAATGGTATGCCCACCGTCCCGATATCCTTTGGCCAGCTTCACGGTATGTCGGACCAAGTCAGCTTCTCTTTGCTACAGACCAAGAGTGCAGGAATGGAGAGCCCTGCTGTATACAAGTGCTCTACTTGGGGCACCATGAGTGAATGCTTGGCGTACTTACTGCGCAGGGCTGTGGAGAACCGTGATGCGGTGTTGAGGACAACTGATGAGCACACCGCGGTGAAGAGCGAATGTTGGAGGCGGATGAAGTCGGTTTTTGCAGCTTGATATAAATTGCCAATAGTAGTTACTGTGCAGCCAATGAATCGAATAGCAGCGGCATGGAATTTAGAATACTTCAAGTCTCCCAGCCAAGACTTGACGACACTATCAATACGTCAGGCATTACAGTCACAAGACCTGAGCCTAGTGAACAAGTACTGTATAACCTCCTGAGCTGCCTTCTAGTTTCTACAAGCTACCTAACTACAGCTGAGCTCGCCTTATCCGCTCGAATGTTATGTTTACTTCTAGTAAAATCATATCTACTTCCATCCTCATAGTGCTGCCCTCCCGCCCCCCCCCCCACCCCCGACCCGAAGTTGAGATATTTGACAACATGTACCTGGTCAGAGATGCTTGACTAGGAAGATTTGTTTGTCGAGCAGTCATAGACAATTCCGTCGAGATGTAAAATAGACGCATCGGATGTATCGAAAGAGTACTCCCGTATCGTATCGTCAACAATACCGTAGAGGTGCCCGTCCATCGTTGTTGCAATGGCCGAAAATTTTGCGAGATTTCCCCCAGACTTTTCGAGTGTGATCTGGCTCATCGTCTCATTGTGCTGACCGATGATACGGCCAGCCATCGTTCCGTCAGAGTTGAGAGACAAATAGATGGTGTCTAACCAGTTGCTTCGCATCGTGACAGCGAATTGAGGGGCTGCCGTCGACGATGATGAATCTTGGGATTGAAGGATGCTGTCTATTACGACAGGTTCTTTGGACACAGAGTCAGAGATTAGCCATAGTTTGATGAGTAAAGGTCAATGGATCAAGCAGAGGGTACCTTACCTTTCACCCATGACTTGGTCTCTAAGTCGAGTCTGGCCTCTATCATACTGACCTCTGAATCTACCGTCCCCGGCCCCTTTGCTACCAGACTGGCTTTATCAAGCACCGCGCCACCAAATTGTGCAATGATGGCAAGACTGGTATTCGTTGTCCAGTTGGGCATGAATTCTAATGGCTGAGGGTTGGCGTATGTGTTGGTGTCGTTGGCGACATAAACCTTCCCATTCAGCCCTTGATATGCAATGAGCCGGTTTTGTCGTTCAGCGTTGCTATCCTTCCGCTCAGTCTCGTCTGGTAGTCGTTGAGTGAACGTTGCCGCAAGTTGTGAACCGGGCAAAGGGCCGATCCTGGCATCAACGACCGAACCGTCAGAATTCCATTGAGTACTCTCGCCTTCCTTGACGTCGTGTATGATTCCATCGGTTGCGACGTAAAATAGCCTAGTTTCGCCACAACCGTACCCTGCGCAGGCTACCGCTGCCATCGGAGCACCGCGAGGAATACTGATAGCGTTGGTTGTGGATTGGAACTTGAGAGTAAGATTAGTAGTCGCCCACTCCGTTGAAGGTTCCCGTAGGATCCGTGCGATCAGTGCTCCGGTAGCATCTTGGAAGAAAACCGTTCTTTGATCGATTCCCCCGCTTGTTCGGTTAGCTGCTGCAAGTCTCGAGGTACTTAGGATGCAATGCGAAGTACTCTTAGCAGTACTCCGACGACTAAGCACACCTCCAGCAACACCACCAGCGATGGCGCCAATAAGTATTACAAGGCTGGCGACCAGCACTATGATGAAGACTCGCCGCGAAAGGCCACAGATGGTATCTTTCCGCCCAGGCTTGGTCGTTGAGTCGTCGTGTTGCTGGGGAAAGGGCTGGTCGTAGCCTTGCTGATCTTGCTTCTTGTATATGTCTGACGTTCGTTGAAGGTACCGACTCTCGGTATCCCAGGCATTTACTCCTTGATCATGATGTACCTCGAGTCCGGCCTCTGGTCGAGGAGGGTCTACCTCAAGGGTGCTATAAGTCTGCGCAGAGACCATTGGCACGACGGCGTGATATTTGCTGGGCTACTTTCGTTTTGGGAGCGTTATAGCTTGTGACATAACAACAATTTGAGAACAGGAAAGAGTGAAAGTCCAGAAAAACAAGACGAGGGCGCACCTCTGGATTATGTGCAAGCCTATTCCATCATTCCCGGCGCCGAGGTCGATCCCAACTATTTGTAATACTTTGCATGGGTGACAAGGCTCGGCCCAAATAGTATTGCCAGCTTCCGTTCCACAAGAGAGCACTTCAACTCCAGTGCTGCATGTACCGTTTGACTGCATAAAGTTAATATTCGTGGGAATTACCTGATCAGCAGGCTACATAATGTCAATCATATCCATCTTAACTTCGTATGAAACGACAGGGGCTGAAAAGATACTCCGCAACCTTGCCTCGTCACAATCAGGCTCGCCATTTTCAGGCGTTCTGCACCTGAACTGCTTCTTCCAGGAGTAAAGATCGTCCCAGCTGAACCTTTGTACCCTCAATCCTGCATCCATTTCATCCTTCTCTGAATCATAACGTATCAGAACGCCATAGTTGATCAGCAGGCTGGCGCATTTATGGAAATAAGGCGGTACACGCATCATTACCTGTAACACAGAAGAAGGCTGTGGTACTTCGCCCCCAGTAAACGAGGGTATCACGCATGCGGCAAGGCGGATAATGTTTCTCACGTCAGCCCGGACAAGAGCCGCCGGTGTTTAGTCTAAATAAGGACCTTTCCTAGGGTTAGAAGATATTGTAGTTGGTGGAAGCTAATTGCAGTCCAAGAATTCTTTTCTGTAATTTAAGTGATGAAATCAGGCTAGCAGATAAATGACCGATCTGGATTTGGGATGAACATGCATAACCGGGGTTGATATCCGAGTTCCACTTATCGATGCGAAGTCTTTTTGTCCTAAACCAATGAAATGTGATAGAACTATCACCTGAATTCGAGGATGTTGGTTACAGGGGTGCGCGTCCATTTAGTCAAGAGGCCTGCCCTTCCTAAGAAAACGAGATCATGGATCAAAGGAAACAAAATAATGACAGTTGGGAGAAGAGCAAAGTCCATACGCAGTTACGAAAAAGCTTCCATCGGTAGCAAGAGTGACATTGGACAAGTTTTAATGTTTCTGTTCAGATTGTGCATTCGTCTGAGAACTGGCCATCTAAGTCTTGGAGGAAGGCCCGAGGGAGGTTCGCATCTCGGGCCGAGTCCGGCCTGGTATGGAGCGATACACCTTTGAAGTGACCAGGATGAAATCCCACCATGCAGAATCGCACCAAATGTGACCAGATACACGACCAACGGTCAAGTGCCCCCCATGGTTGATGACTGCTATACTTCGACCGCACCTTTGATCAGATATGCGAAGTCCTTTTGTTCTTGGCCATCGAAGACGCGCCTAAATAGCTCTTAGTAGCTTCCATAACGCCAAGACGACCTCACTTTGCCAAGGGAGCGATTCTACCACTGCTCCTGTTTTATACCCTTTCCGAGCACCGAGCAAAAGCCACTGGGTCCTGTCGAGACTTAAGTCATAAGTACTATTGAATGTACTAAACTTGGCTTGTTTACCACGCTATGGGTACCCGGGGCGATGTTGAGACGCAATTAGTCACAGGGAAGACTTACGCCACAGAGGAAGTCTGGGACTGTCACCGTTCGATCATTACCAAACTCTACCAGGATGATAGAAGGCCGTTGAAGCAAGTTAAGCTGATGATGGAGCGTGATTACAGCTTTCATGCCACGTGAGCTTCGCCTGAGAGCACTGCATACGTATCAAGCGAGGAGCTAACGATATCTGAAGTGAAAGAATGTACAAGACTCGACTTCGTAGCTGGGGGCTCGAGAAGAAGCTCAAGGAGTCTGAGGCCTTGCATATAGCCCAGCTTAAAGGAGAGCGCGAAGCTATGGGAAAGAAAACAGAGTTCTACATTCGAAACCAGCGAGTCCATTGGGAAAGAGTTGCACGCTATTTGGAGAGACGTCCCGATTTGCGCCACAAGCTTCGTGCCTCCGCTAAGACTCCCGCTAATGCAGGCCTCGACATAATTTGCCGGACACCCTCGCCATCTCTTGAACTTCCCGCTTTCATAGGTGGGCCCCCTGAAGTACGGCTACCTGAAGAAATGCTACGGATCTTCAAGGGCTATTTTGAAGGGGGTTTGGAAGGCGGGTGGGCAATAGAGGAGGACATGATACATGGATTCGACGATGAGTTCGGCCAATTACGGGTCATTGAAATGCGTACCGATCTGGATAATGCAATTACCTTATTGGGGATGAACAAGCTAGAGGCTGCTTTTCGCGCCTTGAACAATAGCCTCGATTCGCTCGGCCACGCCATAAAAGAGCAAGACCCGCTTCTCTTTTACATCCTGTCCTACCGCGCCATGCAGCTTGGGCCTACGATATCCGTCCCTGTTGTTGCTTTCATCCACAAGATGCACGAAACGATATTGGGCCCTCAACACCCCCTTGCTCTTGTATGGAGCAGATTCAGGTGCCTGTCACTTGAACTTCGTGCTACGACCCTCGGCATGATGGCTGGCAGTAGTGTGCAGCTTCTCAAAGGACAACAGGGGATCCTGAACAGAGTGGTAGCACTAGCTCTCGGCTCGACGTCAAATATTCTGGACAAACCGGGTGAGACAGACATAAGCCAGTTTGGCGAGCTCCTATCCAAGTACACTGCAGCCAGCGAAGCACACTTTGCAGAAGGAAATTACCAAAGCTCCTGTGAATGTCTCTCGGTAGTGGCCGGGATCTATTCATGGGGACAGGAATATGAGCTGGCAAAGGAAGAACTGGCACGCGCACACTCTCTGATTCAGGACAATAAAGGTAATCCCGAGAGACCATGGCTTCTTTTGGAGCTCTCTCACTACGAAGTCATGGCTCGGCTATGCTATCAGACTGGTTCGGTTGACGAGGCTGTCGCGTATGGGTGCAAGGCATATGAGCATGCAGCCGAGCATTTTCAGAGACAAGACAAGCACCAATCGCTGAGAGCCATACGGAACCTCATTGACCTCTATCACTCGGCTGGTCGAGAAGACGAAGCTGAGCAATGGTGCGACATACTGATTGCGAACATGTCAAGAAAGAGACAAGTTTAGACTGTCTTAAATGTGGCGACTTGGATGCGTTGCTGTTGGAACCGCGATACAGATCACTGATAGAACGACTTAATCTTCATCTAGTTCCAGGCGTTCAGGGCACATCTCATTGAGAACACTGGAGGGGGGAAAATAAGCACAAGAATCCAAGTTCATCAACGTATTGTTTATTCGTCAAATTTCAACTTCTGAGTCACTTCTAAGCTACGAACTGTTCTCTTGTTCTGTTTCCTAGCAGTCAGTGACGTTGTAACCAGCAGCCAGAACCAACTTGTCAAAGTCGGCGGTGGCATCCACAAACGGGAATGTAGAACGGTTGCCCGCGACATCAAACTCATTGAGATCGTGGAAGTACTCGTGCGAGATGTAAATGCTGTTCTGAATCTGCACAGTAGCAGTCGGCGATCCCCACGTCGCGATATCAGTCGTCGAGTTGTCCATAACCTTGCCAATGTACTCTACCGAAGCGAAGCCATCCTTGGACGCCCACAGAGTGATGGCCTGCAGCCCGTTCTCAGAGCACAGCAGGACATCGCGGTTGTAGCGGGCCGGGTTCAGCAGACCGTCGCACTCGAGGTCGCTGGCGGTGTAGGAGCCGTCCGTGGGCCAGGTCATGCTGACGTTGGTGGGCGCCGGGCTGGACGAGCCAACGTCGAAGGAGAGAAAGGTGCCGAGGTAGGGAGCGGTGATGACGAGCTTGTTGGAGGCCTCGTGGAAAATGATGCCGAGGTACATGTACTTGCTGGATGAGCTCGGCTCGCCAATGTACCAGCTCGACAGTTCGCCGTCCTTGGTGATCTTGGCGATGGCGGGTACGTGGAAGACTGAGGGGACGTAGGTGTTACCCTCCTTGTCCTCTGCAAAGTCTTGGTATCCTCCACCGGTCGAGTTTTCGATTGCCAGCTTGGACGTGAAGTCTGCCAGGTCGACCGTGTATGCGGCGGAGTTTGTGTTGGTATCCCAGCGGATGACCTTGTTGCCGCCGGTCATGTTCGAGCCGGAAGTCACAAAGGGTTCTCCGCTGTTGGCGGAAATGAGAACGGACTGGGTCGTCGCGTCATAGTCAATGCCGGATACGTGGTAAGGGTCTACGCCGGTGATTCCGTCGAAAGAGAGGATGTCGTAGGTTGCCTTGTACGGGTCGTAGACAAGGACTGTAGAGTTGAAGTTGGCACTAAAGTTTGGGCGACCAGATTAGAAAATGAGATGTGACGAGATCGGACGTCGGAGAGTTTCAATGCAACCATACCTTATATAGAGCTTGCAGTGAATGGGGTCCCAATCCAAATTCTCGGGATAGAGCTTATAGTTCTCGATTTCGAATGTACCGCTTACAGCTGCGCAGTTTGCAGTTTCTGCCAGCTTGAATGGGAACGCGGAGACAACAGATGCCAAGGCGGCAAGGCCCGTCAAGCCTGTTGAAAGAGTGGAACGCATCTCGAGAATTGCAATGAGTTTTTTATGAACGAATGTATTGGCTTGAAGTCCTTGTTACGGTCGAAGTGAGAGTGAAGAGACTATAGATATGAAGATACGAGGCGAGATCCCTTGACCCTTTTATCATTTCTCTACTCGTCGCCGATGATCGCCTCCCCATTCCCACGAAGTAGCCGGTCAAGACCGTTGAACCAGTCAGTCCACTACTGGTGGAAGACTCGGGAAGCCCGCATAGTGACTTCATGGATGCTTAACAGGCATACACCTGGAACGATCGTCTGTCAAATCCATGAGCTAAGTATTTCTTGGCAACCGCGCGGATGAGGGCGCCTATAAGGAGTCTATAAAACAGGTTGCTAAGCGGGTCTGAATGCTTGTTTGTTGGGTCAGGCCTGAGCCTAATCGTGTAAGTGAAGCATTTGCTGGAATAACCGCACGAAGTTTTCCTAATACGGCGCGGAACGCCGCCCACATTCCGAGAACCTGTCAATAGGCCCTGAAGGTACACTAAAGTTGCATGGAAGGGGGCCTTAAAAGGGGCGCAAAAGGGGTCGTTTACGAGTCAGTCTTGCAATGGCATGGGCTATGCTCTCGTTGTTTTTTGGTAGAGCTTTTTTCTTTTCGACTGCGCCCGCCCACCTCCCGACAACTCTTCTCGGTTAGACCGGATCGGCCCTTGGCTGTGGTATTTCGATTCCCAGATACTCAACTTCATCGGGTGGTCAAAGGCAAGTGTCTCAAGCTTCGCTTGCAGAAAACTTGGGATTGTTCAAATCCACTCGTCGTACGATCCTTCGGGTTGCTAACTAACTCCTACATCATAGTTTATGAGGCAAAGTTGCCCTGAAATTGCCGCAGTGGAAGACCGACAAATCTCACTTGACCTTGGAAGTGCAGAGCCAAAATCCAACAGCTTCTCATCCCAAGATGTGACTGATCTATATCTTTTTGCGTTATCGGCCCTCAAAGCCTCTTCGCCATTTCAATGACCGGTATGGATTATGAATTCGGCTAATCAGAAATTGGATCAGTGCGGTCGATGAGCTCGCATCTTCGGCTTACTGAGTCAGCGGCGCAGCCTGTGCCTTGCTTCCGTTGCCCGGCCCGGCACGGAGGGTCCCCGTCGCAAATTGATGACCGGCTTCCATCGTCGGATCGCCGGATTATCACGATCCACCTTAGGTCCATACATACATGAGAAACTCAGACGGTCTTCAACCTTGAATCATCTAAGAGGCTCGGCCTCCGGTTCCACCAAGTCGGCCGTTTCTGTGTATATCTCTCTCATATCTTGGTGCTTTGCCTCTGTCTAGTCCATGTCCTCTGTAATGCTCCAACTTGCAGACATGGGATCCTTCCCAATGTCATAATCGTCGAGAAAGATGCCCGGTCCTAGCTCTCGGCCGAAGACCACCAAAGTGGTCAACACAATAGGATACCAGTGATTACCGTACGCTTTCTAAAGTGTATTATGAGGAATAGAAAGCTATGGATGTGATAGTGGTAGTAGCTGTGAATAGGAACAATAGAAACAGAGCGAAGGTATTGAGCGGCAACTGTTGTGTCACCATTTTAGCCAGTCTTGCCTTGGAGCAAGTAGAGAGGCAGCAAATGGACTTTTCGATTGTGGGCAATGATTTGCAGGCTCAAACAATATTAGACATAGACATCAAAGCCAGCCTTACTTGAAGTTTACTATTGATAGCGCTTGTATTTGTTTGCCGTCCAGGCGCTTGGTTACGAGGTCCTGTACTGATCACATAAAATTATTCTTGCGAGATGAACAATAGGATAAAGTGATTAAGTACGTCAATGATAGAAAAGGCTACAGGTATCAGTCTATGACATGGCTTTACATATATCTCAACTCCAATGGGTATCACTCAGCCAGCAGCGTACTGACTCTTCTTCCTCAACCTCGGTCCAAACTTCCAAAGCAACAGCGGGCCAGGCCACCCGATAACAACACCCAACAGCGCAAGCAGCGTGTTACCCCAGCCATAATCCAACTTATTGTACAAACTCGGCGCAAACAACGGGAACCCGAACCCAGCCAAACTTCTCAATACCGTCGCCGCCGCGACGGCACTAGCAGCATACCGCGTGTACGTATCTACCAAGAAGCCCTGAATACACTGGAACCCGATAATCACGCCGGCGCTGAACAGCGTCGCGCCAATATTGGGCCAGATCCAGTGCGTGTGGTACTGCGACGTCCAGCCGTAGATGATGAGACCCATCGGCACGAGCACAGCGCCGGGAATCATCATCGGCACGCGGAACTCGGGGCGTCCCGGTCCGCCGTCGGGAACGTAGCGGCGCTTGAGGGCGGCGTAAATGCGGTCCTGGAGCGGGGCACACGTTTGCGCGCCGATGAAGAAGCCGAGACCGAGGGAGATGTAGTTGAGGCCGCTGATGCCGACGGATTCGCCGTACTCGCCCGTCCAGAGGGTGGGGAAGGTCGAGAGCACGAGGTACATGAGCCCGTAAAGGTACATCATGTAAAGGGCGAGACACTGAACCAGAGGCTGCGTGCCGAGAAGGCGGAAGGGCCGGGTGAAGGCGATGCCGAGGGTTCGCGTGATGGTGCGGTCCGGGTGGTCAAAGTCGGTGTGCAGTGCCGTGTTGCCCGTCTCCTTGATGAGGCGCTTCTTCCTCCGCGTGAGGAGCACCGGCGCGAAAGTCTCCTGCAGGACGAAGAAGCCGATGGACTGGATGACGGCCGTGAGGATGGTGGTGCTGTAGAAGATCCAGCGCCACGTCGTATTCTGGGTGATGAAGCCGCCGGCGATGGGGCCGATGGCCGGGCCCAGGAGCGGCATGAGAGAGTAGATGCTAATTGCCTTGCCACGCTGTTCAGCTTCGAATAAGTCGCCCAGGACGCCGCCACCGATAGCTAGGGGTGCTGAGCCGCCGAGGCCTGCAAGGAAGCGGAAGGCGATCATCTGGCTCTTTGTCTGGGCGAGACCGCATCCGAGGTTGAAGAACATGTAGAAGAGGTTCGTGAGTTGGAGGACGATGACACGGCCGTAGAGCTCTGACAAAGGACCCCATGCTAGCGGTCCTACGGCGTAGGCGAGAACGAAGATGGACAGGGCGAGGGCCTTCTCGAAGGAACTCGTGATGTTGAGGTCGGATCCGATGGCCTCCAGAGCGGGTGCAACCATGGATGAGGAGACTGGCGAGAGCAGTGTGAAGCATGATACTGTACACTTGTTAGTAGTCGTTAGGTTGGCGACTAGGAACTTAGCTTACTGCAAAAGACTGCGGCCCATTTCCTCTTCATGGACCATTGCTTTGGGTTTCCAGGGTCGTTCGGACCATCCCATGTCACAAGGTTCGGGTCTCGAGCGGTTCTCGTCGTCGGGGTCTTCTCGAGATCGAGTTCTTCGCCGCGTTCCAAGTCTCGTCTGTTCTCGATACCATCTCTTACTTCAGACACCGTCCTCGACAGGGATCTTGACCTCGAGCTCCGTATGCCATTGAGGACGCTTGCGCTGTGTTCTGAGTTGCTGTCGCTGTCGTCTGATGATGACGAGTGCCGTGAAGAGTCTGTCTGCTTTTCCTCGACTTGCTTCTCAGACGCTGCGGTGATGTGCCTCTCGACCTGCTGTCTCAGCGTCGTGCGCTGGGGGGTTGCGGATCGATCTCCTCCATCGTATGAGCCTTGTTGGATTGAGTGTGGCGAGTTGCTTGAGTCCGCCATCTCCTTGTTAAGTTATGTGAATGCTATAGCTACACTGGCTTCTGTGAGCATGCCAGGCCAGTCACCTTGGCGTGGATTGAATACTGTTATGAGAGAAAGATTCAATGACGTATGTAAGTGAGTAGTAGTAGCAGTAGTGGTTATCAGTAGGTGAGGTAGTGTAGAAGTAAATAACAAAGAGGCTCAACTCGAAGCAAACCAGTTCCAGACGACCGGAAACACGCCCCAATTAAATAAAAAGCAGAACAGCTGACAGCATCAGAAAGGAGGGCAAAGGAATGAATCATTGGCATTAAAATCTCTTAACACCGGGGACGCCCTAACGTGTTCCCCAGAAGGCGGCCCGCCGCACATCGCTTCTCCATCGGCGCGTGCCCGCACTTGCGGCTTCGGGAAGGTGGTCGTTCTGCCGGGCATGCTTATTAGCTTCGTTTTATCCAATGACGTCCGTCGGCAGGTCAGCATAAGATATGTGTGACTACTAGCAGCCCAAGAGACCGCAGGCACACAGCTCAACTCAACGGCCGAGAGATGCGTTGGGGGCGAGGGCCGTCTCCTTGTGCCCCATGACGCCGTCTGAAGCGGCGCTAGGCACAGATATCCCCGAGGTCTGAAGGCTGAATGGACTCAGCCGCTTCCATTCTCTCTTGTTTTTCGGGTACCTGGACCCAGCTGTCTTTGCTTCCGGTGGGCGTGTAGAATTTTTTGGCATTGAAACCAGGTAAAACTGGGTGCATCTGTTAGTCAAGTTACTCAAAGCGGATATAGTGAACCACAAACGCCGTGGTCTTAGTGGGCGCAACGTGAAGAAAACTGACTAGGAGCTGACAAGATGTGAGTCCGGATTTTGCCTCCACCTCCATAATCTGTTCGTCTGGACGTCTCTTTGGTGAGGTTCGGAGCTTGGAGAGGGCCCCAGCACGGCACACGGTGCCGAATCGGCAGCGATCCAGGGTCGCTGACGTTCGGATGACCGCTCTTGTTGGCTGGTCTGGGTTTACGATGGAGCTAACCATCTCCACACGCGTCCTGCTTGTCGGCTTCGGCTGTCACAGCGTGCAACCTTTTCGGCGTCAGGACTGTGACGGCGAAGATACTCGGGCGCCTCAGATTTTTGCGGTCTCGGCCATTGTCCGTAACCTATGCATAGATACGGAAGCCCTGAGCAGCTGGACAGGGTAGAATATTGATCCCTTCAAAAACAACTGGTTCTCCGGCTGTAAATAGACGATGTGAGGATGCATTGCTGGCATTGTAGCTACCTTACCGTCTTGGCCAAGCTATACCGCAGCAC